AGGGTCAAGCTGCTGAGGCTCTGGTGGGTGGAGGGAGGCTTGTGACGGGTCAGTGATACACAGCAGTGCTCAGCGGGACCTAACCTGGCAGGGGAACCGCAGGAGAGCTGCCCTGAAACCGTGCTCAGACCCTGGCCCCTGGCCCTGAGCCCCAAAGCCAGCTGCAGTTCTGACTCCTGCACTCCCAGGGTAGTGTGGCCTCCTGCTGGGACCCACAGGCAGGAATCACCATTCTGAGCACCTCATTCCTCTCCAGGGCATCCCGTCAGTCAGGCGGGGACTCATGGGGTCCCATGTACAGGAGTCACCTGTTTCTTCTCCTTACTAGGCACAGGGCTGCTATCCCACCATTTCCCCAGGCAGATGGCGGCCGGGCTGCCATTCGCTCAGGGTGAATAGTCCTTTTCCTGTTTATAGGGGTCTGCATGGTTCCCAGGTTTCAGGGTCATGGGTGATGGACCCAGAGACATTCCTGTCCCTGCAGATAGGTCAGGAGTACGTGGTCCTGCTGGGTCAGCACTGAGCAGTGGACGGGAGGGTCTGAACAGGCAGGACTCTGGTGTGCTTTTGTCTTTTGCCATGATGGGCTGCCCAGGCACCAGGAAAGGGCCCAGGGGGGGTGCAGAGGTCTCTGGGGAGAAACAGCAGTAGCCTGGGCCATTACAGTGGCCAGGGAGATCAAGAGGAGGGACTAAGAAGAAGTTTAGCAGGAACCTCTGAGTGGACTGTAATTGAAGGTGGGGATGGGGTTAGAGGTCAGTGTCTACCGGGAGCAGAGCAGCCCTGGTGCCATCTGGCTGGGGACATGGTGGCACGTGATCCCCATGCACAGCTGGCTTAGCGACAGAAGGGGCCTGAAAGCCAAGGACTTCTGGTTGCCAGACACCAAGTGGGCAGGCCTGCAGAGAAAGTCTAGACTTAGGCCGAGGTTGAGGGCCACGGTCTTAGCAGGTAGGTGGAGGCCTCAGGGGCTGCCGGGAGCAGAAGGCAAGAGCAGTCAGAGGCCCTGGAAGATGCTCATTCCAGCAGGAGGCTTCTCCTGGCCCCGTGCCGTCTCTGGGTGCCACCTTCTGTCTTGACAATTTCCCCGGCTCCTTTTGGTTGTTGCCAAGAAAAGCGAAGCTGAGTGTGTGCTTAGCTGCACTCACTCCCTCCAACGCAGTTTCTCCCCCGGCTGATGGAGTGCCGGGGCCTCTATATTCTGCCCTGATTGTGCACCGCTCCGTTGGGACCCTGTGGGAGGGGATCGCGGTGAACCAAAGCGCCGGCAGCCTGTCCTTGTGTAGCAACAGGGCACAGAGCCACTGGTCCAATACTCACACCACTGAGTAAACTGGGTGTGAGGAGGGGAGAAGCACCCTGTGAGCGCACCCCGGGGGGAAAATCGGCAGGACTTTGCGGGGAGGGTTGACATGGGGGCAAGAGAGACAGAGAAAGTGGCTACGGGGTGCATGGGTGACAGGGTAATGTGGGGGGAGGTGGCCTGGAATCACCAGGTGGGTGTTTTTCTTTGCATTTTTCTGGTTTTTAAGCTATTCTCTGCAGAGCCCTGGAGGGTCCCCAGAGGACCAGGGAGGGGAGTTGGACATGAATGACTCCGGGTTTTCCCATTTCTTCTCCTCAGGAGAAAAAAAAAATTTGTGCTTTTGTTTTTCTCTTTTTTTACACATTGGGTTTATATATAAGATTTCTGCACAGACGTTTTATTGAAAGAAAGGGTGCCGCGTGGCCAAAAGAACGTTGAAAAGTTCTGTTGTAATCGAAAGAGAACAGGCTGTATGGGGAGTTCTGGTCCCAGCTTTGCTGTTTCTTGAGCAACTGACTGAGCCTGAGCCTCAGTTTTCCTGACCTGTGAGGTGGAGACAGTGATGATCCACCCCGT